GCTCCGAGCTGCACTGCCTCACGGCGTCCTCATCCCCTGGCCTCCCCGTGTCCCGCTGCGGCGCCCGGCCAGGCTGCTTCCCGAGGCTGCAGCGTGCTGCCGGGGCCGAGGGGCCGGGGGACCTGCCGCCCCGCGCCGCCGGGACTCGTGGTTCTGCAGGTGAAGAACGCCCAGATTCCTCTCCTGTTCCCTGGTTCGGTGGCAGACTGAAGCACCAACACGGGTCCTTTCTGAGCTGGCCTCGTGCCGAGGGCTTTGGGGTGGGGGGCAGGCGGTTCTGGCGCGCGGGCCTGGGGCTCCAGCAGCCCCAGCACAGGGATCTGCTGGTGCCTGGCAGGGACCTGGCAGTGCCCCTCGCTCCGGGGCAGCCCAGGGCCGTGGTGGGCGGCTCGGCCCGGCTTTCCCTCGGTGGTCCTGGCTTTCCTTGGGGCTCCTGGCGGCCGTCACTGCTCCGGCAGCTCCGGGCTGGGACACAGGGTGTGCGGCAGGTCAGTCCCTTAGCGCTGCTCTAGAGGTACGCGGCGTTTTGCAGAGATGCTCCCTCCTGCTTCCGCTCATGGGCGATCTCTGCTCAAAGCATCTCATGACGTAAAGGTTTTGACTTCAAGTCTTGGGTGCCGGGGGCCTTTCGGGCTGGCATCTCCACCTTGGCGAGGGGCTGCGGCTGCAGCACCGTCCCCCCAGGCCGCGTCCGGCTCCGCATCCTGCGCCAGGCAGCGCCGTGTTGGGAGCTGCTGCGTCTGTTTTCCTGTGAAATCGCTTGCTGTCGTCGCTCGCGTGGTGTTGATCTCTGTGAGATCTTTTGGCGGAAGATGCAGTGTCTGCTGTGCGCTCGCTTTAGTCTGGTCTGATTTTCTTTGTTTTTTACTTGAAACTGTGACTTTTATTTTTGGTCTAGTTTTTTTTTTAAGAGTTGTTTGATGGTGGTTTAAAGGGGCACAGGACAGTTTGAAGCTGTAGAGAGCGCGGTGTGCGGTGCCGACCTCCCGGGCTGGGACAGGGGCCGGATGCAGGAGCCCTGGCCCCGAGGGTGCACGAGGGTCCTGCCGGGCGCTCAGCGCCCTCCGCGTTGGAAGCCCGCGATGCTGTCCCCATGGCGCCATGACCTCCCGATCCGTCACCACGTGGTGCCCTCTGTCCCTCCGTCCAGCTGTTGCTTTTGCCTCGGAGGTAGGGGCATGTTCCTGTACATATTGCAAAGCATTTTGGGCTTAAGTGAAATATATATTTATATATATATATATATAAAAAAGAAAGAATCTTTAATCAACACTAAAACTATTGGGTAGTGCATTTATTTCATTTTTGAGAGAGAAACGGGTTTCACTCCTAAGTGACGGCTAAGCCGTCCCACCACAGCGCCAGCAGCATCCCAGTGCCCGCAGCATCCCTGTGTCCGGCACCGCCTGCTTCCACGCGAGCCAGGAGCGGTGACGGCGCAAGCGTGGTGGCAGCCACGGGCCCAGGCGCAGCCGTCACCTTCCCCCGGGGCCCGGGGGC